GATCCTGAACTCGACCATCTCATGGCCACTGCCTCCCAGGTTCCCATCCACTTTTGCTTCCCCTACTAGTTCTTCCCTGTTCGTGGGTAGCACGACAAGAAAAGCTTTTCCCCTAGTTTGTTCCTCCACCACTTGCACCAGGAAATTGTCCCCTACACTTTCCAAAAATTTCCTGGATTGTCTGTGCACCGCTGTTTTGCTCTCCCAGCAGATATCAGGGTGATTAAAGTCTCCCATGAGAACCAGGGCCTGCGATCTAGCAACTTCTGTTAGTTGCCGGAAAAAAGCCTCGTCCACCTCATCCCCCTGGTCTGGTGGTCTATAGCAGACTTTGACCACGATATCACCCTTGTTGCTCACACTTCTCAACTTTATCCAGAGACTCTCAGGTTTTTCTGCAGTTTCATACCGGAGCTCTGAGCAGTCATACTCCTCTCTTACATACAACGCAACTCCCCCACCTTTGAAATCTGAAAGCACAGATTTCCCCTAAATACAGATTATTCTCTGGGAGCACTTTCTCTCTCTACATATCTGCTTTTTATAATTTTCCTAGACTCTGGGGTACCAAACCTCCACAGCACAGGACAGGGGTAGGATGACCCCTAGGCCCTACCATCCTCAAGGGGACAGACCACCCTGTCACAGACTCCATTGTAAATCCCCTAGTTTTAGTTGTGGCATAACAACACATGAAGCCATCTGGGATCCATACCCATTCCTAGCTCCTGCAGCAATGGCAAACAGGTAACATTTGGCATCTTTGTATTTTCTGTTTTCTTGTTACTGTGCAACAAACAACTCTCTCTGACATTTGCGTATCTGGAGTCTCTCTTAGGTTCCATTTCCTTTCACTTTCTCTATACTGTTTCACCCCATCTATCCTCCCTCCTCTGATTTATTTTCTCTGTACCAAATATGTCCCTTCATTTCTCCCTAAAATACAACTCTTCTTAGTCGTCTTTGTTTCTCCCTCCTTCCCCTCCCCAGCCTCAGATGTGGTGAAGAAGCATCTTTCTTCACCATACCTCACCTGCGTGGATTATTGAGAGACATTTCCCTTCTCCCACAGTATAAGAGGTCTGTGTATCAATAGCCTTAGAGGGCTCACATTTTGTTTTCTATATGTATGAAGATGAAAGACGGGGCAAAAACTGGGAAGAACAGCTATATGCACCTGACCTCCTCACCCAGCCCCGTGAAAGACAGTGTCTAAATAATGTATATGTCAGTAGAATGTAGACTTAGTATGGAAATCCTTCCATGATTTGCATCCTCAGGCATAACACCAGAAACAAAAATCCAGTGTCATTTTCAGATTTTCTCCTGCACCTGGGCAAAAGGCAGAAGACAGGTGCCTGTAGTAGCCAGGTGTCAGCTGTTTAGTGCTGTAGTGATATCTGATCCGCTGGAATTTCCCAAGCAATGGCAAGTGTGAGTGGGAAGCTGCGGATTCCAGGGAACAGATCACTAATCATTGTCATGATCGAGACCATTCTAAGGATGATGGGGAAATGATTTATTGCACTTGCTAATTGCAGTGGCTGGATTAAAAATGGAAAACTCTTCTCCTGTGACACAGTCCTGACCTGTCAGAGCACCTGTCCCTTACATTTGAATTAATCGTGGCATTTACCTTTGTAACTCAACTGGGAATCTCCTGGAGTGCATCAATATGGAAGACAATGTCTAGGATATCTTATGTGTCTTTGTTCTCTACATTATGGAGTTCTTCTCCCCACCTCTTATCAGTTTGGTGTCTTCCATCCTGTTAATTACCTCTCCATGGACACAGACCAAGTAGATGCAAACAAACAAGCCTTCTTTAGGGATCCCAGGACAGGTTCTTGTGCAAAAGCCTTTAGAGCTCTGATCCCATTCCTTTATCCTGTATGTTACTAGTTATGTAGCTCAGTTTCTGCTGGCATTGCCTGCCTATCCAGCTGTCACAGCAATTGAACACCTGCAATCATTGCTGCTCATATCCTGCTGTAGACTCTGTTATCTTGATTCTAATTAATCAAACTCAGACATTGGAGAGGATTCTCCATCATACAAAATGCTAATTGAGATGAGGGACTTCTTAAACCTACTTCAAGACCTCAGAAAGACTCTTTTGCTCCTGCAGGAGAAACAACTGGAATCAAATCTGGCATCCACATTTCTTCCCTTCTCTGTTCTATTTCTCAAACAAATATTTCCAACTATTAGATATGCCAGTAGCAGGTCCTCTGTAAATGCTAAAAACAGCAGTAGAATCTGAAACTTTCTGGTTTTTTTTCCCCCTCCAGAAAGACATGATGAGAGGAAGCATATAGGGCTCATTTATAGATCTGACTGGAGGACAATTCCCTTTTGCAGCAACTTTCAAGATTTCAAATATGCTGCTGTTTTCCTTCCATGTTGGAACAAAACCCCAAATGCTATTTTTTTTTCCCCCAAAAATAGAAGTGTGTGTGGTACTGGCCTGGGATGCAGGAGATCAAGATTCAAATTCCTGCTGTACCTAATACACAGCAGAGATTTTCATCCCAGGTCACTCCAAAACCTGGGTCTCCCATATTCCAAGCCAGTAACCCTAACCTACCCACCCGTGTATAGTTATAGTGTGTGGCTGTGTGTGTGTGCCCTGAACCTAAAATAACCTTCCTGACAAAAGTTTAGTGGAAACAGATACATCTCCACAAAACATTTGCATTCTGATGAAACAACATATTTCACTGAAATTCCATTTAAGTGAATATGTTCCAAACAGCTCTACTCATTTATGTGAGCTAGCTGCTCTGAAATGTGTAGGTTAAATCTAATTTGAGTTTCTCTTATTTTATATTTTTAATGGCATAAGTCTTAAGTTGATTACCCAGTTGGGGAATGTGATTTAGGTAGCAGTGGATAGACTGACTTGAATGATTTCTTTAGAAAGTCCCTCTTTGCATTGAATTGATTGACCTTGTTGCGAACATATCGCTGTGCTGTCGGGAACTTGTTACTGATTGTGTGCGATGAGCAGCCATGAGCTATTTTTAGTACCATACAGCTTCTGATGCTGTATATTCACATGCAGTTTCACACATGACATAGGTACCAGAACTGGTTATATACTGGTGCTCAAATACATTATTCAGCAAAAGTTTCCTATTTTAATCAATTAAATGACTTGATGATTCAATTTTAAGGTATTTGACCAGCGCTAATATTTGCATACTACATATTGTGTGTGCAGGAAACTATGTGGCTGCTGGATTGGGATTTGGGTGCCTTTTTCCCAGTCTGTCTGTTATTGACTAGGCGTATGGCTTTGGGGAAATCACTTTGGTCCCCATGTGCCTTTGATCCTTGGACACCAGGCCACAGCTCCTCTTCTAACTTTAGGTGTCTTTTGGAATAAACACTGATGCTTCTTCCTCCCCTCTGGTCTTTGGAGAGTTGGGGTCTACTGCCCCCCAAGTTCCACTGAGAGAATAGTCCCAATGAAAGAGATATTCTGGGGAAGGAACAAAGCCCTGGTCTAGAGCTAGTTTAAAAAAAAAATGAAAAGCCCATTTTTCCATTGGGAAAAGCTGATTTAATTAAATCAGAACATTTCATGGGAACATACTGATTTCATCAATAATTTTGATGAATAATTATTGGTATATTTCACTTTCATATGATTGACATGTTTGACATTATATAATAATTAAAGCAAAATGCTTCAACAACACACTGTTCCAATGTTTCTGAAATGAAATATATCAGAATTTTCATTTTTTGGAAAACTTGGAAATTTCAACTTTTTGTTCCAGTTTGGGATGAACTGAAATTTTGAAATGTCAGAATCTCCCATCAAACAGAAATTCTGTTTCTCTCACACATCAGGGCTGTTGTATTAATCTTGGTAGACTATAGATTTAAACAAGGCTCAGGGTTTGGTATACAAAGCCCTCAGCCTGCATAGTTCCACGGCAAACACACTATTAAAAATCGTTTTAACCTTTTTATTGAAGATACAGCAAAGCAAAAAGTTAAAGCATTTGAAATTAAATGGAATAAATAAAGCTTTCATTTTAGCCATCTCACTTGTTCCCTTTCTCTTTAGCTGTAGAGACTCTTTGGAAGAAAGGAAAATTCATGGGTAGTATGAAAGATGGTATTAACTGTCCTTTTTGGGGGGGAAAAAAAGAAAGTTAGTTGAGATAAGCTGATGCTGCTGTTGTTGTCATTGCTGTTGCTGAAGTCGGATCCTGTTTCCTAGAAGGCAAAACAAAACACACAAGGGGAGAGAAAAGAACAGCAAAAAGAGAAAATGCTG